TCACCTAGAGTGGAGCACCCACGGGGACACTACTCGAAGAAGAAAAGGGAGTTACTCACCTCGTGCAGTAACGAGTGTTCTTCGAGATGTGTGTCCCCGTGGGTGCTCCACGACCCTCCCTTCCTCCCCTCTGCACGGAGTCTAAACTACTCGGGCGGAGACGAGGAACTGAAAGGGAGGGGGGTGAGCCGCGCGCTGCAGAGGGCGGGAAGGGCTCGAGACGCCCTCTGGGCATGCGTGGCTCAACAGGGGGAAAACTGCTTTGAAAAGCTCCGATCTGCGGCTCAGGGCGACCCTTCACCTAGAGTGGAGCACCCACGGGGACACTACTCGAAGAAGAAAGGAGGAGATGCATGGGAAGAGCAGCCAGTTACAGTGTGGTTCCTTCCTCTCCTGTTCAATATGTTGGCAAGACTCAACAACATCATACAGAGGCAGCCCCTCTACCGTTTTAATGGTTCCTTTTCCTTTGGATGGGTGAGTTAGAAGCTGTTTTCTTTACCTCGCCTGAGATTCAGCTAACACCTTTCTCTTCAAAGGAGCATTAATCAGAAACTTTCTGAGATGAACTCTGTAGAGTTCATCGAGCCATTCTAGCTGTAGGTTTTTAACTCCAGGAATGAAGGAACATCTCCCCACTTCTCATCAAACTGAAAACTAAAAAGTACTGGGCCCTGACCTGTCAACCACATCTCAAGCTACCAGGAGAGTATGTAGGAAAATCTACTTATCACCTTAGCTGGGCATCCCCCACCCCCTTGTATTCCACTCTAACCCTCTAGGCTACGATTTTAATCAGCTTGTTTCCAGTCACGTACTGTATTTTGTTGATTTTTATTTTGCTGACTTTTCTTAGTATCTTAATGCAAGCTTTGCCAGAATTCAATTTTGTTTATCACTTCAATGGCTAATAGCTATGTTTATTTTTAACCATTTTTAAAATATTGCATCAATTTAATTTTTCACAATGGGGTGAAATTATTGGGGGTGGTCAAACAATTATTTAAAGACAACAGATGCTGAAATTCCAAATGTTAAACTTTATTAACTGTTAAAAACATAAAGCACCATCATCATATGGTAAATATCCTTAGATCAATGAATCAGACCTGTTTTTATTATTCATTCACTAGTCAATTTGTAACAAGCCAAATTCAGAAGTCTAAACTGGAGTTTGACTCTAAGGGTGCATCTACACAGCTGGGCTTAACTCGAAATAAGCTACGCAAATTGAGCTAAGTCAATTGTGTAGCTTATTTCAAAATAGCTTATTTTGAAATTGGGGGCATCTACACAGCACTTATTTCAAAACAGAGCACTCTTTCTCCAACTTCTCTTGCTCCTCATACAATGAGGGTTACAGGAGTTGGAATAAGAAGTCCTCCAGCTTGACAGTATTTTGACATTATTTCAAAATAACTGCCTGCTGTGTAGACACGGACTAAGTGATTTCAAAATAATGCTAGTTATTTTGAAATAATGTGGATGTGTAGATATATCCCAACTTCTCAAGCAACATTCTTCTTATTTTGCCTACTTCTAAATTTTTATCATCAGTGGAAATATATTTTTCACTGATTTGTGTGTGTACAATGAAATTGATGTTTACCTACTGTATGAGTAAAAACCTAATCCTTCCAAACCTATTTATTGTTAATGATTACTGTTATTGTTAATGTTTGTTAATTACTTAATGTACTAAATCTTCAACTCTTGTAAATTGATATAGATCCAAGGATCTTGTCCAACATATACAGTAATTAAGAGTGATCAATAAAGGAAATTGAAAATACTGAAGTTGTTCCATTTTGTTGCTGTTACAGTTGCTTATTTGTATAAAGAAAACCTGAATGTACATTATTTTTTAACATTTGGGTGGGTGTCAGGAATGCAAGCCCCCCCCACTGTGCTTCAGTGCCCCCTGACTGTCCTCATCTAGCCCATCTCAGGGCAAGTTACAGTCTGTATGGGTTGCTCATCATTGGCATTTGTCGCAATGGCTCTGCTTATCTAGTCGGCCTCATGATAGGCCCGCAAACCAGAGGCTTTGCCTCCAGCCCCTAGCCAAGGGGAGTCTTGGCTGGCCCGCTTCCAGCCTTTGCTGGCTATCCCCAGCTTGTCTCCCTCCAAGGAGCTCCTGCTTCCTCGGCAGTCAGCCCTCCACTGGCCCCCTCCCTAAGCAAACTGTGCTTCTCTATATACACCTGCCAGCTGGGCTCACACTTGCCCTAATGGTTGCAGCTGGCTTCTACAAGCCAATTGTGCTGCCTTAGATAGTTGCCAGCTGGGCTCTCCCTAGCCCAAACAGATTCAGCTAGCCTCTGCTCAGGGCCTGAGTCCTGGTCTTAAAGGGCCAGTGCAGGGCAGGCGCCCTGTCACAGTGGGGTTATGCCTTTTAAATATCAGGAGTGCCAAATTAAGTCTTCCCTGATTTTTTGATGATGATATCAGTAACATATTGGGAGTTTACAAAAACTGTTATTGAATGGGCATACCATCCTTTCTTTCAAGTAAGTTTGAGGTGATGATGGAAACAAGCAGCTACACAAACAGTTTTAGAACAATCTGATTAAAAATCCCTTCTCCTAACTGCTTGGTTATCAATCTGTTGTTTCTTGAGATACAATAATTCAACTTTTTTGCCAGTTGCAAATAGGTAAAATTTCCTATATAGTATGACAGTGCAAGGCCTACATACCACTTAAATATCGCTGGAATGCTATTTTAAAAATGTGAGTACTGCATGGACCTTATGCTGCTCTTCAGAATAAGAGTAAATTTTACCCTTTAAAATCTTCTAGGATAAACAAAGTCCAAATTTCCAAAGTGAAAAAGCAGAAAAACTTTAAAACACCCCAAAATAACTGCCCTAGTGTAGCCTGTCTTCATACATTGCAAAGAAGCAAGAATGAGCAGACAGCCAATTGGTTTTCCTTTGCGGGTCACTTTGAACATATTCTTGATGCAGTTTGGTTGCATACTTACTTCTGTAAATAAATCCCCAATATGCCTCTTCATGCCATGCTCTGAAAAGACCTCATCCATTGCTTCAATCATTCTAGAGCCTTTTTTCCTGTTACGTAAAGAAACATAACCTACAGATGGAAAAAGCAGAAACAGCTCTTCAATTTACATTTTTCCTAATAAAAGTTGATTGCCAAAATCAACTTAAGAACTTGTAAAAACATGTGAATACCAGGTGATCATTAGTCCTAACATGGGGACCTACAAGAAAAGAGGGAAGTAATGGTTCTCCTCCGCCTTCCTATGCAGCCATTTTAAGATGTTATTTACATAGCTGGAGATGCATACCTAAGCCAGTCTTCCCCCAAAGCTATAGACCTGGCCTATGTCTTCTGTGGAATGCAGGCACTATATTGCCACTGCTTACCACCATGAGCGAGCAAGTAAAGAAGGGGTAGAGAGTTGGCAGATTGGTGGTGCTGCTACCCACCCTCCCAACGCTTGTCAGCTTCAGCTCTTGTAAACAGTTGTAACTAAAGTTCTCGCCCAATGGAGGCAGAAATTAAGGGTGACGACCACCAAAGGAAATATTAAAATACTCAAGTTGTTCTATTTTGCGGTTGCTTAGATATATAAAGAAAACTTGAACAGGTATTTATTTTTTTAATATTTGGGGTTAAAATGTGGGTGAAGATGTGAGGAGGCTGCATGCCTATGAGGCAAGCCAGGCAACACCCAGCAGTGTAACAGGGCTCTTCCTGAACTAGCAAACTGTAATGCTTCCTTTACAAACCACACTGCACGCAAATGCTGCTCACCAATAGCAAGGTAATATAGCTCCTAAAACCAATACTGTCTCTTCCAACATTTTCAGTAGCTAGCGCAGGACAGAGCTCGCCCTTAGCGACGGGAAGCCCAGGAAAGTGCAGCTCGGAGTGGTGGGAAGGGAGAAGAAAGGTGCAGAGCTCCTACAACCCAGGCTTACCACACTGCAGTGTCCACTCCTGCACCTCTCGTCCTGCAGGGTTGGCTGGGCTGGATTTGCATATGGTCACAATTCTCCTCAGTTTTGGGCCAGCACCCCCCATCCCCCTAATGCAGCTCACGTGCAATCAGAATTGCAATGTCACTCACTCAAATTTGGCCCAGCCACCCCCCGTCAGGGAGGGCAGGCCAAACTTGAGCAGCACTGCACCCCCTCTTGCCAGGGCTATACTGCAACACCCCGAGTAGGGAGACAAGCCCAGCCAGTTCTGCAGGACAGGGGCTGCTTCAACAGGTACAGGAGATTTTGTGGGTGAAAGCTAGAAAGTTTCACAAACCCCAGTACTGTTAGACTTGACGTTCACATACAAACTAAGAAATATTTTCTCCTAGGGAAGTAGATGTGCAAAGTTGCCCCTTCTGGCCTGAAGATCTCAGGATGGGAGGGTGGAAGCTATTGGGTATACCTTGATAATGGTGGTTGATTTGCTTGGGATAGGGATGACGTGTTTGAGAGAGGGTGTAGATGAGTATGAAGAGATGTGTGCAGTGGTGTGGCTTTTTTTCTGCATGTCTTGGTTTTTGTGGTTTTGAGGTAGCAAAAAAAATTGTACTAAGGTGAAATAACACCTGAGACTTGTATGTCATTTTAGCTCTATTAATGGAAATGCTGCTTTGCAAAGAAAAGGATTGTTGTATTTGCAATTAAAACGTTCTCTACTCAACTCCCTAGATAGGTCACCTCTAACCTTCTCACAAAAGAGATTCCTGTTCAAATCTTTATTGTTGAACAATATAGTTTTGTTTTGTGTGTATTAAAAGAATAGAGAGGGGTAACTAGTGGTGTCCCCCAAGGGTCAGTCCTGGGACCAATCCTTTTCAACTTATTCATAAATGATCTTGAGAAAGGGGTAAGCAGTGAGGTAGTAAAGTTTGCAGATGATACAAAACTGTTTAGGATAGTCAAGACAGAAGCAGACTGTGAGGGACTCCAAGAAGATCTCACCAAACTGAGTGATTGGGCAACAAAATAGCAAATGAAATTTAATGTGGATAAGTGTAAAGTAATGCACATCGGGAAAAATAACCCCAACTATACGTACAGTATGATGGGGGCTAAATTGGCTACGACAAATCAGGAAAGAGATCTTGGAGTTATCTCATGATAGCATCTAGATGGTTCATCAGTCTTTAAGTGTTTCCTGACTCTTTGTAGTTTGCTAATTAATGGTTCTTATCTGCCCCCTTTGACTATCTAGTCTTTAGGTTTTCATAGACTAGTCCTGTTCCCTATTACTTTGGCTTTCCCTTGATATATTTTTTACCCACTGCCTTTTCTTGTCCCCCCCCCCTTCCAATTTTCCCTTCTTCCACCCTCCCTCCTGTCTCCCCTATTTATTTTGGTCCTAGACTTCCAACACTCTGGTCATCTGAAGAAGTGGGCTATGCCCATGAAAGCTCATGATACCATCTGCATGTTTTGTTAGTCTTTAAAGTGCTACCAGACTCTCTGTTGTTTTTTCAGAATATACTAGTCATGGATTAAACTGAACAATGCCTGCTCAAATTCCAATGGAAAATGTGAGACACTGTTTTTGATCCCATCATGATATCTCAGAAATGCTGACTACCTCCCCGCTGTTAAAGTTTATTATCAGATCAGGATGAGATTATCTCAGCATTTCCATTAGACCCAATTTCACCATCTGGGGAAATGAAGTCTCTTTTCCTCATACAATGAATACTGGATCTCCCCACCATTCTAACAATACCTCCCTTGCTAGCTCTGGCAATTTCTCCCCACTTTTCTGACTCCAAGCCAAACATTTAATAGATTTATTTGATTTTCTCTGTTCTCCTGAGTTCTGATTGCCATGACCATTGTTTTGGCTATAGACATGGATTCACATTCTCTATCTGTATCTGATTTGAATATTAGCCCCCCCTAGAGGCAAATTATATTTTCCTCAATTTAAATCTCTCTTTTCTTTTTCCCCTTACTATGAAATACAAGTTCTTGAGAGCCTCCAAAGCCTGTGTCAGATATGCTTTTGTATTGAAAGACCAGGGTTTAAAAGTTAAGAGATTCTAGCTTTTGGTTTGAACATGTAATGTGACCTTTCTGTAAAATGGGGATAACTACTGTACTAAATTGGACCTGAACTAATAAAAAAGACATAGAGCCAAAATAAAATACTTAGAGCCAGAAACTGCATTAATAAAAGGCTAAATTCGACTCTCACAAACCCCCACGGGAATCAATCACAATTCATATATGTAACTGGAGCCTATTTTGGCCTTGTTATCTCTTACCTTTTTGAGTAGAATACACAACATAGTAATCACTAGCTGTTGGCAGTCTCCTGATAGCTATCAAGTTATAAGTACAATCAGCTTCCTCAAACACCTGTTCTATTTCTTCTACTCCATGATCTTCTTTTCCTGTTATTATGACAAGGAAATATGTTTAAAACACACTGCCAAATGATTGACTGGTGCCAAATTCTTTCCAAGTGACTTTCATATGTTTATACACTTGCTTATATACATGCTGTTTATACATGTGTTAGGCTTATAAAAAAGGTACAAAGTATCAGACTATTTCCCCATCTTGGCACTCCCACTTATATCTACTGTAGGAATGCAAGGACTGAGATGGTGGTAATGCGGTTAGGTAGTGAGCTGGATTCTTAGATAGCAGAGATGAGGAAATTTCTGAGGAAAATACATGTTTTTATCAAAATCAGAAATTTTTACTTTTTAAAACACAAAATTATAAAATGAATAACAGGATTTTTAATTTTTTTTGCATTTCAATTTTCTGATTTGTCATTTTTCCTTTTTTCACTCTTCATTTTAGCCCAATTGCCCCTCTCTTTATTCAGTAGCAAATTGGGGGGAAATGGGATATAAGAAAAAAAAGGATAAAAGAGAAAAAGAAAAAAATATTGAAAACAAACATTTTTTAAATAAAAAACTCGATGAAAAATTTTACTAAACTTTTGTAAGCAACAATTATGTAGCTCAGTAACCTGAATAATTAAAATATTTGTATTTTAATGTATTCATTTATTAACTGCTGTGCTAGACAGTCTCAATATTTGAGAGGAAGATGAGGCCTTAGCTGTGG